AGATCATTATCGGTCAATTCCGACTGAGAAATTCAAAGTTTTTGCAAAAAGCCTCTTTCTTATCTCATAGTGCCTGAATTATAATGGTAAAAAAGAGAAGCATATGCTCATGAGTTTCAAAGAAAAACTAACAAAGCAAAACAATTCTCGCGATCTCCAAAAAGCTCTACTTCCGACTTTTCTGCAACGCCCTATTTGGAAAAGTAATTCATAACACCCCCAAAAGCGATCCTGTCGCGACCTTCTGCTTATGGAAAAACCAAACTCACCGAAAAGAGGGATCTGACAACAGACTAAGAAAACAAATAGAGTGATTGCTGTCCATAGCATTTTCTCGCGGAACTGAATCTTCCGTTCCGGCTTCGATACCTCGGGCACGAAGCCGCAAAACGGCTTCACAAATTCGAGAAATTTAACTGAAAAGAAATCATTTAACTGAAAGCATACAATGATGAATGAAGATTAGAGAGACTTACTTCCCATCCTAGCTGTAGCTGGTTGCCTATAACTCTAAAACGGTACTATAGAGTAGGCGGCCAAAGACAAAAATGTCACACAGCAAATACACACACACGAAGGACGAACGCGACCCGAGGCACTCTCGCCAACTCCGGCGCGTCTCTGTAAAGCGCGATCTGCCAACGCGCTACCGTAATCAACTACAAGCGAAAATGGTTTTCTGCAAATAATTGCAAGACAAGAAGCTTAAGCGGAGTTTGCTGACTTCTGAACCATTTCTATGACGATTTAGCAAGTTTTAAAAAGCAAACTAGTGAAAATAAGCCAAAAATAAGCCTTTCATCGAAGGAAAATCCAAAAACGGCTTAAAGGGCAGCCGAACTGCAAGGTCCCGGCGGACAAATTATAGGACGCAACTGCATGCTCTCTGCGCGTCCCGGGGAGAGTACGCTACCGTGAGCAGAAGGCGACACCGCTTGCAAACTTTCGCATTTTTAATTCTGTTAAATTCTTTTACAACCTTTTTCTTTGCCTATAATGAAACTAGAATCTGTCGTTACAGTATGACAGATTTCAAGAGGTAGCGTTGTTTGATTATGTTCCATTGCCTTGCATGTGATTTTTTTAT